TCTATTGAACACTAAGCTACCTGTTAACAATAGGAATTAGCTAGTAAGGAAATGTAAGTAAAGGTCAACGGGGAATATAAGTAACTCACCTCAGTCGTACACGGGGAAACGACTGAGGGAGGAAAACATAAAGATCTGGTATATAAGCGGTAGCTAGCGAAGCACGCCTTGGATTAAGGCGTGCTGAGTCCGGATGGGGACGAAGAGATCATGACGGAACTTCGTCAATCTAACAACCCAGATATTCGGTTTAAAAGCTCAGCGGGTACAAAAAATACGTTAGTCACTTTGGCGCCTCCGTCTACTTCAAAACAGGCATGTTCACAGACGCGCCTTCGCCAGCAACATGTGCGTCGTCCGACCGCCAGAGGGTTGTCGTTGTCTGTCGTGCATGATCGTATAAGAAAAGAAAGGTCAGTTCAATAAGATGCGAGTACGGACGGACCTTCGTCTGCGTATAAAAGTTGATTCCTCTGCCACCCCACGAGAACATTAGATCAAAACAACATGGAGATGAAAGGTGGATAAGTACTGACCCCTTGCCGTAGAAGTTGACATCACCCAGGAAGCTGTTCTGTACAACATCTCAGTATTTCCTTCTCATTGCGTGATCCCAACACAACTCACCTTATTCCCAGTCCACGAGAACATGGGCAACGGCACCGGGATCGGCACGTTGATCCCAATCTGCCCTGCCTCGATCTCCGTCTCAAACTTACGGGCAATGGGCCCCGACTGCGTGAAGAGCGCCGCGCCGTTGCCGAACGGGTTAGCGTTGACCAGCGTGATGGCCTCGTCGAGCGTCCCAACGTTCATGACGCAAAGGACAGGGCCGAAGATCTCTTCTCTGTTTAATTTATAGTTCAACCAGCAAGATTAATAATGGGGACACACTCACTTGTACGCAGTCAAGTCCGTGGTCGCCTCGATGAGCGTAGCACCCACAAAGTTGCCATCAGGATAGTTCGAAACTTGTTTCCCGCGTCCGTCGAGGAGAATCTTTCCGCCTTCCTTTTCCGCTTGAGTGATATACCCTTCGATGCGTGCCTTTGCAGCGGGGGTAGTCACGGGACCACTACAGGAGGAAATTAGTATCAGGTCCTCGACTGCTTTTCCGAAGACACTGACAACTCGGCGCCCTTCTCGAACCCTTGGTTGACTTGGAGTTGGCTCGCCCTTGTGATCAGGTCGGGAATAAATTCCTTCGCGGCGCCAACAAATACGGCTGTGTAACAGGTCAGTGACTGTTTCCGTTTCTTTTACGTAGGCCAAAACACTCACCGACGGAGATAGCCATGCATCTCTGTCCGGCGGCTAAATAGATTATAGGCATCCAGGTGTCCGTGCAAAGAGCTGAGGCGCTCACCACCACATGCTGCCCCAAGGAGAGCATTCAAAGCCTGATCTTTGTTCGCTATACCGAACACGGATTAGAGATTTTTGGGCGTATGAACGACGAGCTTGTCATACCATCCGGCATGATTACCGCGTGGTTCTTGGCTCCCATGTTGCACTGTGCTCAGCCTATGAGAACATCATCTCAAACACCCACTTGAAGCTTACTTGTACGCGTTTCCCGTTCTTCGTGCCACTATACATGCCTCAACATTACTCACCTCCAATTGAAGGTTGGGAACGTACAGCTCATAAATATGCTGGCCGGCCTTGTTCCCGCCGACGAAGCTGATCGCCCTGATTTTGGGGTGGGTGCAAATGGCGTTGACGGTCGGAACAGTGCCGTGTACGATGTTGAGGACACCGGCGGGCAGACCTGCGACGTGGAACCATTGCCATTAAAGTACTGTATAGTTGGTTCAAATTGCAGCCTACCTGCGCGTTGACAGAGCTCAGCGATCATCATGGCCGCGCCCGGATCGCGCTCAGAAGGCTTGACAATCAAGGTATTTCCTGTCACGATTGCGACGGGGATTGTCCACAGAGGAATCATCCTGAGAAACGTTCAAGAATACTCGCTACCATGAATGAACACCGCCATCTTACGCAGGGAAATTGAACGGCGCGATGCTAACAAAAATTCTGTCAGGTCGCGCAACAGAATGAAGGAGTCCAAATCGGTGTACCTTGCGCAGACTCCCAAAGGAACCTTTCGTGTTTCCGTGTCCATATCTTTACTGACCTCCAGTTTCTCACCCATCAACGTCGTCGGTATCGCGCAGGACGACTCGACGACCTGCAGTCCGCGGAGAACGTCGCCTTGCGCATCTGTGTGCCTCCATCAGTATACGCACGTCTTAGTATGTATGCGGGACGTGTGATTGACCTGCAAAAGTTTTGCCCTGCTCGAGCACGATGGCACTGGCGATTGTGTCCATGTTTTGACGGATGAGGGCCTGTAGGCTATTATTTGACGCGTCAGTTCTCACCATGCGGCTCTCAAGAACAATCTCACTCTAGCGCAAAGCGCTGACGCTTTAGAACGCTCGTCTTCTTCCACGTCAGGAACGCCTTCGATGCTGCCTCGACAGCGCTTTCAAATTCTTCCCGGTATCGCAATGAATAGGCAATCGACCAAGAGAGGCAAATGTCTTACCTGCAGGCGTTGTTTCCGGGACACGGTTAAGCAGGGTCTGCGTAGCCTGGAAATCGTCCTCGCATTCGAATCTGCTGCTAACATAAATCACGACTGAACGCACTGGATCCAAGACATCGATCCACTTGTCGGTCGTGCTCTCCCTAAACTCTCCATCGATGAAGTTCTTCGTCGTCCCGCCTAGGAAATCAGTGCCTTTCCATTGCGATGAGAGCTCTTCCGCGCGGGATTGAGACAGCGAACTGAGTCCAGGCATAGCAAGTTATGGTGGAGAGAGGTAAGAGCCTCGTGTACAGATTGTCGGCAGATTGTGCCGCGGCGGAGTCCGCTTCCGTTCCGTAATGTAGCGTCACACGGCCGCGCCCGAGACGATGTGAGAGCAAAAACCAGGCGCAGCGAGACAGTACTTGAGCGCAAGGGAAGGAAGACACGTAGAAGGCCGGAGAAAGGCGGGACCAATTGGGCGGGACTGAGTGCTGTTGACCGGCCCGAGATAGGGGCCTCTGATCAACTGACGATTGCGAATCCTCAACTCGCAACGGAGGCGCAGATTCGACCAAGTTGAACAGCACATATCCACACGCACTTCGACTAGAACTCAAGTTGACGAGAAGATTCAAAATGTTACATAGGATATTCCGGCAAAGATGCATTGTATCGTACATTGATATTGTTGTTCTGAATCTTTACACTGATTGTACATTAATTTTTACAGAGATGGCTTGCTTCAAAATGAAAATACAACTCTGGACGGCGCAGGGCCTGGTCTCCGGAGTGTGTTGATACATTGCATTCTTTGGATTCTGATAGAGATCGTTCGTTAGATGCCTGGCGCAGTTCTTCGTTTACTTCGATACGCACCTGGCAGTCTTGGGGTCCGTCATGAACTTCATCTCCCGTATCGCCCGCGACCAGCCGCCCGCTTCGTCGAGCTCTTTTCGGAATGTGCACGCCGGGTTGGGATCGGCCGTGCATCTCTGGACGAGAGCAGCATGTTTCGCGAACGTTGACATATAGCCAAGCGATTTAACCGTCTCCCTATGCCATCGCTCGTAGTACATCATCTGCAAGTACATTAGACAGTGCGGCACGGCTCAACGTCAAGAATCCCACCCATGTTCTAAAAGTGTCAGGTGGGAGCGTTGCCAACGCTTCGGCGACGGCACAACCCATGCTCTGCTGAGCCGATTCGTTGGCAAGACTGATATAGCCGTGGCGCATAGCAAAAACGAGGACCTCCAATGGATGTGCAGAGACGGACTCCCTTATCGTGGCGCATATCAGCGCTGTGCGACGCGCAATACCAAAAATAAACGCACTCCATTCTCGCGCGACACACGCTTATTGCCACGTAAATCATGTATTTCTCAGCGGCTTCTGCGAGAGCCGCAACCGTTGTGAATTCCATCGCTCGAAGATCCGGCTGCGGCAGCGGGTACATGAGCTGGAACAGAATGTCGAGGATGTTGGCGGTTTCGGAAAGTTCAACGGTTTCATGGCCATTCTCTGGTTGCGTCGTGTCTGCTGCACTCGCAAATACGCCCGAGTGCGCTTCCAGATTGCGCCGGTGGACCTTGAACAAGACACCGTCCGAAGAGGAGACGGTGAGATCCGCGTCAGAGGCGCAAACTGGGAAGAAAGCCGAACAATGTTAGCAGTCTGTTACAGACCAAAACGAAGCCGCCTACATCGCTGAGAGGTTGAGGGAGTCGCCATGAGAGTGGTAGGGAGAATGAGGGGAACGGGAGGAAATAATTAGACGGCTTTTGACGCGTCCAGGGACATAATGACGGAACTAGTCCCGTTGCACAGATGACATCCGATCGGCACCTCGCTTCATTTAGTAGCAGCCAATTAGCCCATCCTAATGAGAGCCAATAGGGGCGCTCATCTGATCTGATCTGGAAAGAACTGGTCTGCTGAGCGGGAGCTCTGGGGCGAGTCAGATGGTGGGGAATGCGACTGGTAAATCGGGATGATTGGACTCATCAACCATGAGAGTCGAGGTGCAAAGAAGAGTCCTGGCTCGATCCTGGCTGGTTTTGGTACTGGGCAGATATTTGACATGCCGTTTACAGTCAGGGCTCCCCCTAGTCCAACATATTGGGTTACGGTATTGAGTGGCCACTGTGAGTGTCGCCTGATCACCGCAAGAACGCTTTTGCATCCATTCGATTCGCGTGCCCAGAGAAGCGGGAAACATTTGCCCCACAAAGACTGCTGTCGGTCTGGCAGGGTTTTGCGAATCAGCGACTAGAGGAAGAGAAGCCCGGCCGGTGGGGACAAGGTGGGTCGGTGAGCAATGGTGCCAATGGAAAGAAGCAAGGGTGAAATGCCGTCCACGGGTCTAGCCATCCGATACAGCCGCAAAATAATGTGCCTCAGTAGGCGCGCGCGCCTCAGGGGAAAGGGCGCGAGTTGAGACTGAAACCTAATTCAGATCTCACATGGCCGCCTGGCGAAATGGCATCGCGTCTGACTACGACTTGCGTTTACGTAATTTGGCATCAGGAGATTGCAGGTTCGAGACCTGCGGCGGTCATATCTTTTGCCAATGCTACGGCGCAGCAAGCTTCCATTTTTTAGTTCAACTTCCGCCATGTTCCAAAGAACATCGGCGGAATAATTATTCGAAAAGAAATGGCCAAAAACGACTAAGTCGAAAGGGGCAGCGGACTTGTGTTTTTCCAGCATGCATGCACGGATCAAGCAGGTGGGAGAGCAGCTGAGAAGAGGTTGTTGTATTTTATTACACAGGTACGGTAGGCAGGGCTCTGAATGTTTGAGAAAGGCGGTGAACAGGATACATTTTCACAAGCAGGAGAATATGTGGTTACGACTACCCTGCGCATTGGGCTTACCTCCTTGGTTCCCAAATCTGGACGATTTGGTCGTGCAGCCTTGTGTAAACCTACAATTAATCCTGCCCACCTCGCATCGCGATACATTGTCTTGTTCAGATGTTGTGGGCGGCGGGAGACTGATAGATAAAGCCTCTACCGTGCTTTATCTCTCGAGGGGTCCAGATAGAAGATCGCTATTTGGCAACCCCGTACTCCTGGCACGGGGGGTTGCTAAATAGATTTATCCCAGATCTCTGCCAAATCGACTTTCTTGTACAGATTGGGTCCATTCATTGCCTGGGGACTGCAATCGCGCAGTCATGGACAACAAGCTCTTTGCAGGTCGAGCGAGGCAGAATGGCCCGAAAATGGCGAAAAGAGACAAATTTCGGGAAAGCTGCGATGCAGATGAGCTTACGATTCCATCCGCGCTGCAAAGAGTCGCGACATACAGACTGCCGTGGTGGTCAGATGCGTAGTCACACGACTTTGCAGCATATCTGGTGCGACCGTTTCCATCTCACGCCGACCGCCCACCGTGCACCGGACACGCCCCGATCGCGCAATTCCATGATTATATTGTCCCTATCACGAATGACGAATACAGCTTACCCGAGGAACCTGGGCAATGCAGCTTCAGCACACGCATCGTACTTGTAACACACACCGTACCACCAGAGCGAGGGAGTGACAGAGAGAGATTGAGATTGACGGGGAGACACTATGGATGACAGGCTATGAGAGACACAGTGAGAGGAAACCGAGAGTAGTCGCAGCTAAGCTATGAGGATATTCTTCGACGGCAGCGAGCGAGCGCATTACGAGTTGTGTGCGAAGTCGGCGAGACGCGAGGAGAGACGGATGTCGGAGCGTAAACAGAAACGGAAAAGGTCCGTCAAGGGAAAACGCACACGTATAACGTATAGATGGAGGCATAATTAAGTGAGAGGACGGCGGGCGTGGGGTCGGCGCCGTGCCCGCCCCGGATAACACTTGTTTAAAAGGAATTGAAATGAAAGTAAACGAAAAAGAGGAAGTGTTGTACGACATCAAGAAAGGAACAGAGGATCATAGAAGCATTTGTAACGGAATGGGAATAATGAAAGGCCCAAAAAGCGGAGCGAGGAGAAGGACCGGCGAACGCGCGGAGGGCGACGGGGGGAAAGTGTACAAGAAGACGAAGGGGGGAGCTCGGGCCGCGCGCAAAGGAGCTAAAAAAGCAGCAAAGGCAGGCGGGCTCGAATTCGTTTTTGTCGTCGTGTGTCGTCCGCGCGCCGGCGAATTTTTCGTGATCTCCGCTCCCCCTCCCGTTTCATTTCGCGCGGGCAGAGGTGGAGTGAGGAGGTGGATGGGATGGGTGCTTTTATCGTTGTTGTGCTATTGTTCCAGTCCGGTGCCGAGAGGAGACGGAGATACGAGTCGAGAGTCAGAGTGAAGAAAACGGGGTATCGAATGAGCGACTTGAGTGAGTGGACGGGGCGCAGCTGCCATAGATATGGTAACGCGGGGCAGCTTGTTTTGGACACGCCGCAGCTTAAGACGACGAGCCTTCCACCGCCATGCCCTCGTGTTTGCCGCCCGCCTCCGCAGCGTCTGCGCTCTCGGCCTCCGCCTGCGCAGCCTCGACGTCAAAGTCCATCTCTCCATCATGCTCGATCGCGCTCACGGGCTCCGCAGACGAGGGTCCGTTCCCGCTCGCACTGCGGCGTGCACCCGAGCCCTGCGGCCCCGAGCGCGGCGGGTTCGCACACCGATCCTTTCCGTGCGCGATACGCAGGTTCGCGTACTCTGGCCGGTTCTTGATCGCGTCGATCGCCTTGATCGCGTTCGAGATGTTCGTAAAGTTGACGAACGCGCAGTTCCTAGGCGCCGTCAGCACGTTGTTCCCTCACACCGCAGGCGAGGCACTCACTTCTCCTTCAAAAAGTTGACAAGCTCGATGTCTCCAAACTCGCCAAAGTCGGCCTTGAGCCTCTCCTCGCTGAACACCTCAAAGTCCTCGACGTTCCCGATGTACACGTTGCGGGTGGCGCCAGCGTGGACGGCGAGCGCGAGCGTGGGCGGGAGCGGACCCGAGTTCTTGCCCCAGCCGATCTTGAGACGGCGGTTGTTGAGCGTAAGGCCCTGGTAAGACGACACCTGGAAGAAGGTGAAGGCGGCGGCAGGGTCGATGAAGGTGATGAACTGGAGAGAGTGTCAGGGTAGATCGGGCGACTAACAGGCAGGGAAACTTACAGCAATGTGCTTATCCGCCATGTACCTCACGCTCTGCAGCACGCCTCCACGGATCGCATTGCACAGGTCCTCCGTGCTGGTCTCGGGGTGGATGTTGCCGAGGTAGACGGTGCGGTTGCCGCCCGCCATGCCGAGGCCGGGGAGGCCGCCTGAGAGGAAGATATCAGTATGGTGGAGGACGGAGGGAGCCAGTCCAGAAGGGGCAGGGGGAGGAAGAGAGGAGGGGATGGAGGAGGAAGGGGTCGCAGGGGGGAGTGGCATTGAGTGGTAAGAAGGAGGGAAGTAGAGGAAGGACGGGAAGCATGACGCCGGCAGGCGGGAGAAGAATTCGACGACGACGAGAAGCCAAGAAAAGCGCCGACAGTGGGATCGTAGGGAGAAGGCGAGGTCATGGGCACCACATTGCCTCCCTCCTCCTCCTCCTCTACACCTCCCACGTCACTTTCGTGCTCTCCTCACACCCGGACAACGACTCCCCATGTCCCCCAAACGCAATGACAAGAACAAGCACTCACCAAGCATCCCCATCCCGCCCGGGCTCATGGGGCTCATCATCCCGCCCATGCCCATGCCGCCCATGCCATTGAACATGCCCATCCCCATCATCGCGCTGAGCGCATCGGGGCTGAACGGCGCAGGCGTGTACGGCGCGTAGGTGTTGGGCGAGCCTTGCTGCGCGTTGTTGTTGGCGGTGGTTTGCTGGTTGCCCTGAGGGGGAGCGTTAGCGAGCGAAGGAGGGGGGAAGGATAGGAAGAGTGAGGGTGGCAAGCAGAGGGCGGAGCGGGAGAGTGAGGGGAGTGAAAAACAGGGAAGTGAAGAAAGGGCGGTAAAGATGGGAGGCTTTTAAGGAGCGGAGCGGGAAGATGAGGGGAGAGAACGTGGGGATGGAGGAGGGTGAGAGGGCGGAGAGGGAAGCGTGGGGCGGAGAAGGAAGGGAGGGGGCGGAGAGGGAAGGACGGGAACGAGGAGGGAAAGGCAGGGGAGCGGAGCGGAGCGTGCAGATAAGGGGAGGGATGCGACGAAGGCGAAGGGCGGAGTGGAGATGAGGCGTGAGCAGGAAGGCGGGAAGCTGGTAGAACGAGGTGCGAAGCACAAACGGAAAGGCCAAAAAACTCACATTCGCACCCTCGCCCATCTGGCGCCCAGTGAATGGGTTAACGCCCCCGCCGTTCGGGTGCGCGCTCGCGGGGCTGTTGGCGTAGCCGTTGTTGTTGCCGTTGGGCGCGTTGCCTCCGAAGGGCGTGGCCTGCGAGGTGTTGATGGGGGAGGAGAAGCTGGGGGACGAAGTCAGCGTGTGGGTCGATTGAAGGGAGGAGAGGAAGGGGGAGGTCAAGGGAAGAAAGGTGAGAAGGAGGACGACGACGGCGACGAGGACGAGGACAAAGAGGGAAGGGGATCGGACGAACAAGCCTCAGCCCCGCCAAGAACTGTCTGCGTGCCCTGGTCGTCACATAGACGAGCGAGATCACCAGCGAGCTCGTGAAGCGTCCCCGCTCCTCCACCCTTATTCGGGACAACTCTCGGACAACTCTAACTCATGACAGAAAAAGAAACACTCACGCCCCAACGCCCTGAATCGGGCTCGAGAAGCCCATCAAGCTCTGCGCCGCCGCCGCTTGTGCCTGCAACGAAGAAAAGTCAGCGATCTGCTCTGCTGGGTCGCGCCGAAGAAGAGAAAAGGGGAAAGGCTTCGTCGATCCGCGCGCGCTCCACCCCCGCCCCGCCGGTCGGCGTCACCCGAAGAGGGACGAAACGCGTTAGACGACACGAACACCGCGCCGACGAAGCAGAAGCCCACGCCGACGAAGCAGCGACCAAGCAGAGAAACAGAAGACAAGAAACCACACACACCTGATGCGCAGCCGCCTGCTGGCTCTTGGGCACATACGCGCAGCGGTCCTTGCCATAATTGACGCGCTTGCCCGCCCATGCGGGGTCCGTCGGGAGGGTGTTGACGACCTGTGGCAAGGGGCTTTAGCAGTGTGTTTTCCAAACGGGAGAATGGTGGAAAAGAAAGGAGAGAGTGGGAGAGGAGGAAAGGAGAGAGAACGGGTGAGCCGAAAGAGACAGAACATGGCGCGGATGGACATGAGCCGCAATGAAACACGCTCCTCGACATGCGGGACGGGCGGACACGGCAACAGGACACTCCCCCCGCTGTCCGGCTCCCCCTGCTGTCCGACTGGTCACCGAACTCGTACTCGCACCGCGCAGCCGTCACAATACGGCGGGCCTCACACTTACGTCCGACAAAGCGCACTCCCTCCCCTCCCCTCGAAAAAAAAAAATAACAAGCAAACGAAACACACCTTCGTCGCAACCCCGATGCTCAAAAAGTGCACGAAACCAATGTTCTTGTCGCGCACGATCTTGACCTGGTCGATGAGGCCGAAGCGGGAGAGCTGGGGGGGGGTCGTGTTAGTGCGTGTTTTGCTGAAGGCGAGAGGGAGAGTGGGGAGGAGGA